AATTGAACGTAAAAAAACCGAGGGGTCACCCACACCTGGGAATCCCTGGACATTTTAGAGGGGGAATACCATAGGAATACATAGGAATACAATAAAATATAATGGGAATACATGGGAATCCCTGGACGTTTTCCCTTTGGGTGGTTGACCCCTCGAAAAAAACAGACGCCGATAACAACAGAATTAAAGCAGAAGCCTGGGAAAAAGTTGTGACCTTATATAACCAACAAAGTAAACTATATAGAGATGTAAAAACATTACAAAACCGCTTTAAAAATTTAAAAAAAGCACAGGAAAAAACATGCTGTACAAAAAAGTATGCATATGGTACTGGCGGAGGACCTCCGCAAGATTCGAAAGAATCAAATATTGACCGAGATATTTTAGAGATCACAGGCGCGCAATTAACATCAAAATATGATGATGAAGTGTTACCAACGTATAATAATGATAATAGTGGGATAGTGGTTGTTGCAGTAGTAGAAAATGACGGAACACTGCGTGCTTCGTCACCTCCAACCGCGTCTACATCGTCAACTGCCACAAATAACGAGGATGTTGGAAACTGGCAAACATACACCCCAGCAAAGCTGAAAACTCCAATTTCCAAACCTTTACAGCAGAAAGGATCATGCAGCGAACAGACTAAAAGATAAATTAAGTAAATGGGCGAATTCGAAAAAAGAACTAGCAAGCTTGCTGATGTCCAAAAAAATGCTAGAGAAAAACATGAGGCACATTTGAGACAACAAGATCTTGAGTTTGATGAAAATGAAAAGAGAGAAGCATTAACCCAGATAGCACAAGTACGTTCGTAGGACGTTCGTAGGACTTCCACCCAGGACAACCCGAACGTCCTCAGGATTTCCGGGGTCTGCAAAAGTACGTTCGTAGTACGTCCACAGACTTCCGAAATAGACTGTTTCAGATGTCCTCAGGACGTCCGTATTTGACCCCAAGCTGTCCAATTCGGGACATATGAGGACCGAATTAGGACATAGTTTTATTATAATAGGGAAATGTAATACAGTGTTAACAAGTGTTTTGTTAATATATATATATATATATATATATATATATATATATATATATATATATACAGGGTGTCCGGAAAAAGGAGGTCAATCCGTTAACCATATCGTCGTTTATCTGACAAAGAGGCGTATCTCATTTTTAAACAAAACGGTGTGAATTGAATTACGCCAGTTTGTACGGCACACAAAATGCAAAAATATTAGTTACGCCGAAACTGATTTATGCTAAAACTTTATTTGTACCTATTTATTATAGAGCTACGCCAGTTTGTGAGATTATAAAGTCGATTTTGGTGATCATTCTGGTATAACTCAAAAACGAATTTTTTTGAGTTACGCCTCTTTGTCAGATAAACGACGATATATTCCTTAAGTTAAAACAATTAACCTTTCATAATACTATTTTTATTTATTTCTCCATTGAATTTCACATACCTTCATATCTCTAAATTATTTAAAAATATCAAGTGAAAACTTAAATTTTGTAGGGGTTTTTCCATATAATAAAAGTTGTTTTTCACTTATATCATATATTTAAATACATAGAAATTTAACTAAACAGGGAGCTAACTAAAAACAGCACACGCTGTTTTATGAACAATGCCAACATGGCGGATTTCAGACTGCCAACTTAAAGTCACTAAACTGGTTACTTCCAATACCAACTGTTTATTTGGCGGTAAATTTGAAATAAACTCTTACAATTTATTGCATTAAAAATATTATAGGACAAATTAAATAATTTAAATGTTAAAGTGGAGAAATTTCTCCAATGGTATTTTTAATTCGTATTATACATTTCTCATATAATATTATTAATTCAAATTATTAATTTGGCCAATGTGATATTTTTTATTCAACAAATTAAAAATATAATATACCTAATATATATAATATAATTAAAAATATTTTTTTTAAATTTGTAATGATATTTTTAATGCAATGAATTAATTAATTTTACTAGATATTTTTAAATAAGTTAGAGATATGGAAAATTGCAATTGCTAAAAATACTTGACAACTAAAGACACAATTCCACTTAAGTGGATAAAGGGTCTATCTATAGACATATAAGTGAAAAAAAATTGACAACTTTTTTTAAAAATCTTTTATCGTGCTTGATTAAGGAGTATTTTTAATAAAAAACAAGGTGTAATTTTTTTTCACTTAGACCCGGGTCGCGACCAGAAAACCGATGGACGTCCTGAGGCCTAGGCCTATGGACGTCCTAAGGCCTAGGCCGATGGACATCCTGAGTACGTCCATCGGTTTTTTGCCTGCGACAATAGTTGAAGATACAAATTGATATATCACCTTTTATAAAGGCCTTTATAAAGGGTGATATATCAACTTGTATCTTCAACTATTGTCGCAGGCAAAAAACCGATGGACGTACTCAGGATGTCCATCGGCCTAGGCCTTAGGACGTCCATAGGCCTAGGCCTCAGGACGTCCATCGGTTTTCTGGTCGCGACCGTCTGTAAAGGATTTAAACCGGATGTCCTCAGGACATCTTGTGCTATCTGGGAAATAGAAATGGAGATCCTGATTAAGAAAAAACAATATAAAAAGTTTACCAATCATGTCAAATATTATTTCCAAATATTAGTTTATATATTTTTTTATTTGACTGATAAATTTAAAAGTTTTTGATCATTTTAGTTAAGTTTTTTGTTTTTAAAGTATGTTATATTTTATTGTTGTTGTGGTTTATTAATAAACTTCCCATATTCTCTACACCTTTATGATCAATTTATATTGTATAAATTACCATTTTTATTGAAAAAAATTACAATAACCGTGCAAAGTGGCGAGTAATCAAAAGGTTTCTTGTTAGGTTGTTTTCATTTCCATTTCTTCTTTCTCCTGCATATTCGTTGACATGCATTGTTAAATTAACAGCTTCTTCTTCTTCTCTTGCCAATCTAGGTTGAGCATCATTAAATGAAACTGCAATGTTATGTAACACAGCACAAGCCACGACAACAAGCTCCACTTTGCTGACATGTAGTCTTATACCAAAAGCTAAACAAAGAAACCTTCTTTTCAAAGACCCAAAAGATCGTTCTATTGGGTTTCGACTTCGTATTTGGGCCTGGTTTAATAAGTTTTCTGCATGCCCTATAGGGTTTGCAAGGGGTGTTATTAGATAACTTTTTACTGCATAGCCACTGTCTCCGACGATCAGGCTTTCTTCTCCAAATTCTTCATTTTCCGTGCCAGCGACATACCATATTCCGTATAAGAAGCTCACTGTCACAAACGGCTTGTATATTGTACGAAAAGAAACCCTTCCGGTTACGGAATCTTTCGGCATCTTCGCCACCGGGTGATTGTATTCTTACATGCGTGCAGTCGATGGCTCCAATGCACCTTGGAAACTTCGCAATGTTGTAAAAGCCCTGGCGAACCTGTGCAATTTCGTCTTCAGTCGAAGGCATTTCTATGAACTCCGGGCGCAACTCGGCAATGGCAGTTAATACGGTATTTATAGCTCTTGATACAGTGGCCTTATCACATCCACTCAGTTCGCCCACCACTGTAAGAATTGTCCCAGTAGCCAAGAACCGCAAAGTCAAGAGTACCATATCCTCCGGTGATAATGCATTATTTCTGTATTATGAAAGTCTTTATTACGTATGAACACAAATATCATCCTATCGCGTTACAAACCTCTTAGTTTTGGAAGAAATTCTATCAGATATTTTATCATAAGTAATATCATAAGGGCATCTAATTTTTTCGAAAAAACAAGTAATATTTTAACAAGAAGCATGAGTGCTGGTGGCAACAAAAATCCGAGTCGAAGAGGAGGATTTTTGCACCTGCACGAATGCATTTTGTTAAAAAATATTACTTAGCATTGTGTTTTTTCGATTTTTTTCACAGGAAAAATTAGATGCCCGAATGGTATTTGACAAGACTATTTCATGAGTAACAGTTAACAATTAAAATATAAATTGCAATTTTTGGTGACAACAGCTGTCAAGTTTTGCCGCGGGTAAACTCGAATAAACTGCTGACAGGTGCTGTCACACAGTTTTTTCACCTAGAAACCATTTGTAATTCAAAATTGCGCGTTTGTGATTGGTGGATATTAAGACGAGGGAAATAGTCAATGATATATCTTACAACTACTTTCGACATTCGAAATCGTTGTTTAAATTCAAATTCATTCCATTTTATAAAATGATTTGTTCTCTCACGTATATAGTACGCGGTGCCCTTAACACAACGTTCACCAATTGTATAAAATCTTCGTCGTCGGTTAATTCTTCAAGTTCTTCTTTGCGCAAAAGCCATAATTATTGTATAATTTTAAGCTTTAACAGAAAAGTGAGGTTATTCAACATTTAAACTGCCAAAATTGGCGAGTTAAATTTCACCGATAATCTTTATGTTAATCATCGGTTAATCTTCGATTAACCTTCGTACAACGCATTTTAGCACTTAATCGCGGATTAAAAATAATCTAGGGTTAACTCGGACTGGTACAACCCACCCCCCACTAAACACGTAACGTTTATGAAACGTTTCAAAAATGCAGAAATACTGCGTAAATGCAATGTTTGACAAATGTGTTTCAGTTATATTTCAGCAATGTTTCTTAATGAATGTTTCTGTATGGCTCATTCGAAACAAGTATAAAACATTTCAAAAATGCAGAAATACTGCATAAATGCAATGTTTGAAAAATGTGTTTCAGTTATATTTCAGCAATGTTTCTTAATGAATGTTTCTGTATGGCTCATTCGAAACAGGTATAAAACATTTCAAAAATGCAGAAATACTGCATAAATGCAATGTTCGATAAATATGTTTCAGTAATGTTTCATGTAGTTTTTTTTACATTACGTACCTATATCATATACTTATATATTCAAAAGTTTTGAATTTTGCTACTGTTTACCTACTTGCTAAACATACAACATGAGTGATATCACTATATAGTGATACGATTTAGCGTAACCCTCTCTCTTTTGTAATAATAATTCTACCAATTTATTTTATTCTAGTTATTCACTTTACTTATTTTTAAACCTCAACTATTTATAACTGCTATTGCCTGCACTGCCAGATAGCGCGCGGTTTAAACCAGACATAAAGAAGGTTTAAACTAACCAATCGAATAATGTTATTGAAAGCGTTCGAGTTTAACGGCTTGTTTCCTTTTCCGGGTCCCGCGCCGGCCGGTTTAGTTTGCAGTGTTGCCGGCCGTTTGCGGGTATTTTACCCGATAATCGGGGATTTTCGTTATGCTTGCGGGTAAGATATTAAAGCGGGTATTTTGCAAATTTCGATACAGATTTTTAAAAAGTAATATTGTATATTGTATTTAAATTTACATAATTATTTTATTCTATCCTGTTACCATTCATATTGATTGATTACTTCAAAATTCAATTTATTTTTCAAAATAAAGTGAATGCTATACAAAATTTATAATAAAGATAACAAGTTTTTTATTCTTATTCTTGCGGGTAAAATCGGGTATTTTAAAATTTTTGATCGGGAATTTTCATGAAATTCATCCGGCAACACTGTTAGTTTGTCAATTGTCAAAGGGTGTGGGCGGATGCAAATGTAGCTTCTTTATCTCTGAATGTAGCTTGTGAAATTACCATTCTTTATAATCTGTGGAAATTACGATTGTGCGATTAGGTACGCGAAATTAAAAAATTAAAAAGCGACTGTGTAATCAGTGGTCTGGCCTGGGACTGAGAATGTCGCAGTCCGCGGACACTCGCGAGTGTGAATCAGCAAATGTAGCCTTATTGGTGAGTACCAATACTTTGTTTTATCTATTGTTGAGGGTGAGGTTAGGTTACGTTTTCCCTCCAAATATTTGCCTTCTTTATCTCTGATATTTGCATTGTTGCTTCTTTGTTAACGGGTGTAGTGCGAGTTTGTATGATCAGATCTTATTTAAAATTATAGTTATGGGGCGCACAAAGAAAATCTCCATCACCAAACGGCATCTTAGGCGTTTGGTGAAAAGAGAAAGGGAATTAACCACTTTGAAGCAAACTGGAATAAACAAAACGTTCCCTCTAAGTCAGCACGTAGTCAGTGACAATAGTGTAGACCGAGGCCTAGACGAAATAAGTGACCCTCAAGAAGCCAACAGTTCCACCGAAACAGTAGAGAACCCAGGGTTTACGACACAATATCCTGTTTACCAATATCTTGAATTCAGCGGGCTATATAATACATGTAACACCGATGAAGAATACGTTAAATCCTTGCGTAACTGGTTCTTGAAATTCAGACATTTAATGAGTGAAAGTTCCATGAATGATTTGCTAAAAATTTTAAAATCAAAATGTGAATTGCTGCCCTCTGATAGCAGAACATTTTTAAAAACTCCCCATACATTCCAGTTTCCAATAAGGGATGTATCCCCAGGAAAATATTGCCATTTCGGATTGCAATACATGTTACAAAAGCAATTAAATCGACAAGACACTATAAATCTGTGGCACAGTGGTGAAAAATGTGTAATTTTAAGGATATCTGTAAATATTGATGGCTTACCATTGTCTAAAAGTTCCACCAGTCAATTCTGGCCAATTTTAGTAGCAATAGATAGTACAAATAAAAATTTCTCAAAACCATTTGCAGTAGGAATGTATCATGGGTACAAAAAACCAGTACATATTTCTGAATATTTGGAGAGTTTTGTAATGGAATTAAAAAGACTGGAAACAGATGGTTTCACTTTGAAAGAAGTGACTGTAAAAGTTAAGATTTCCAAATTAATTTGCGATGCACCTGCAAAATCATTTATTTTAAGTATAAAAGGTCATACTGGGTATTTCAGTTGTACGAAGTGTATACAAGAGGGTGATTACGTCAATGGCAGGATGACTTTTCCAGAAACAACATCCCAATTGCGAACAGACGAGGATTTTAAAAATAAGTTGTGCGAAGATTTTCACAAAGGTGTGAGTCCTATGGAACAGTTGACGATTGGTTTGGTATCGCAAGTGCCCTTGGATTATATGCACTTAGTTTGCCTAGGGGTTATGAAACGCCTTATGTCTTTCTGGGTTAGAGGAAATAGAGCTGTTCGATTATCTGAGGAGAAATTAAACAAAATTGCAGGCACTTTATGCCATATAAAAGCATATGTACCAAAAGAATTTTCGCGTTTGCCAAGAGATCTCCGGGAAATGGAGCATTTTAAGGCTACTGAATTTAGACTTTTCTTGTTATATACAGGGCCCATTATTTTACAGGATACCATATCAAAAACCTTTTACATGCATTTTATGTCGTTACATGTGGCGATAAGAATTTTGTGTAGTGAACATTTGCATATTTCTTACAATAATTATGCTTTTCAACTATTGAAATATTTTGTCGAAAAGTTCTCTTCAATTTATGGATCTGAATATATTACCCACAACATTCATGGCCTCATTCATCTTCCACAAGACTGTATATATCATGGACCACTAGATAATTTTAGTGCTTTTAAATTTGAAAATTATTTATATACAATAAAAAGGATATTAAAAACATCTAAACATCCACTGCAACAAATGGGAAATCGAATTAAAGAACAGGAATCGTTTTTTGCACCATCAAGTCAAGAAGAGTATCCCAAACTGCGATATGAAATAGAAGTTTCGTTAAAAGGATATCAGGAACATACTTTTTATAAACGGCTGGAATTTGAAATGTTTCAATTAAGTACGTGTCAGCGAGATAATTGTGTTCTGTTAAATGATGGAAATATTATATTTGTGAATTACATATGTGTGAAAAATGCTTCGCAGGACATGTTCTTAATAGGAACTAAATCATTAGAGCATAATCCAATTTATGATAACCCTTGTTCATCTTCACTTTTTGGTATGGTTAAAGTAATCAGAACTTCGACACAAAATGAAAAATACAAGATAAAAGAAATAAAACAGAAGTGTTTTAGTTTCCCAGTAATGGATGGCACAGTAGTTATGCCATTGATACATTACTCTTAAGTGTAAAATTAAATTGAAAAGGGGGGTGAGGGGAATGCTTTTAACATCAATTTTGTATTAGGTAATTTTTTTTTAAATGAATATTCATTGATTTATATCCATACTTTTCAAATTTATATCCATACTTTTCAAATTTTTAGGGTGAGGAATGGGCCGTAGTCAATTTCGTAGAAGATGAAAAAGTGTCTGTTGTTCCATCGTCATGGCTGAATTATACTGAAGATGCTGTTTCCTGCTATTGGCCACCTAAAAATGCTGGAAAACACATAAAAAACCACACAAAACCTGAAATAACCTGGGAAAAATGGAAGATTTCTATTTTAAAACAAACAAGTGAGTGACATAATACCTATCTACCATATTTTCGTATTTTATATTTTTGACTAAACTTTCTACTTAGTAAATAATAATATGCAATTAAAGCTTTTATCGTGCTTATAATTTCCAGATTCGTACGTTGAGGCCCGTGAATTTGTCAAACTTGTATCTGAAGCAGAAGATGTAACTAATACAGACATACATGGAAATCAGAGTTTTGGTCGGGGTCAGAGGAAGCGTAAATTACCAGTTCATTTCAATAATAATTGGGACGAGCAAGAAGATGTCGAAGAAAATGATTATGCTGAGTCATTTGCAATGACGCCACCCCCATATCTTTCATGCGATGTTCAAACTGCTTCAAAAACGACTATTCCAGCAGAAGTACCAACACGGTTGCTAGCCCGATCTTCAATAAATAAAAGTAAGTTCCTTTGAATTTAAAATTTACAAATCGTAAAACAAGAAACTATGATTACGATTAATCATGATTACTGCACAGAATTATTTTACGACTTTTACTTACTACTTTACTATAATTATTTATATTCAAGAATATGTAAAATACGTTATGTTATGCTTTCCAGTTATGAACATGTTTATGTATAATAAATAATAATTCTATTTTTAGCAACAACAATTGTTCGTACAGTATCTTCAGAATTAGATACAGTAATTACGTCAGTTGCAGGTATTTTATGTTTCTTTCCTCATTTATATTTTATGTATATCATTACATTTTTCAGAACATAACAATATTGGGAACATGACAGAAAGAGAATGTCGGTCTGATAATGTTTTTTCTGTTCCTCGTAATTTTGAAGGTATATTGTAAAGGGGGTAACTGGCATTTTATAATTATATGTTTTTTTATGTTTCAATTCAGATTCACCAATTATTAAACATATATCGAATCAACTTGGAGTTATTAAAGAATTGGTTCAACGTTTAGTGGATGCTGAAAATCGTCGTGAGGCTGGAAACGGAAACATGAATAATTCCATTACAAATTTTGAATTAGTGCCAAAAAAACAATTTCTTAAATATCGAAAACTGGTACTATTTGATGAAGACATAAAAAATAATCAAGAAGCAGAGCGGCAGAATGTAAGTCTTTTATTTGAAATTGAATAATCTATTATTACATTAATCCAAAAAATTATTGTGAACTTTCGAGTCAACTTTGTCAATTAAGTTTAAGTTATAAATTGCAGTGAAAACGTTTATAGGTATTTACCCGGCTGCTCAATTTTGGATTAATGAAATAATTAAGTACACTGTTTTTTTATCAAGCAGTTATGCTTGTCTTTAGTACACACTGCTTTTAAACAATTTCCGACAATTCCAGACCGTTGTCATTATGTTACTAATTTTCTTTTAATGCTTTTCTTGTTTTCAAGGAAACTGCTCTGTATTTACTTGGTGGTGCCAGTTACAAAGAACATATTAGACGAGGTCTCAGAAAATTATTTTCTGATAGACTGGCAATTAAATGTTCCTGGACGGGCCGCAAAAACAATTTTCCACTCCAGCATCTAAAAATTCTAGAACTTTTGAGAACTGCTACACGAAAAAAGTTTGGCCAACTTACAGATGCTGAATACCAGCAAGAAGTGGCTCTGTGGTTTAGACAAGCCCAGCTTAGGTATAATCGTGAGACACAACGTGAGCCTTCGCATCAGCAGGTATTTTTTCCTATAGTCTTATTTTTCCCGTCTAATTTGATGTTTGTAGGAAAATAACGCTGCTGCAGAAAATATTAATTAAGTTATGTTACCAAAGAATGTTTTTGTAAGAGTGTATGAGTAAGGTGTACGAGTAAGGTTAAAAAGAATAAAATGTATTTTTTTTATTTTAAATTTTATTTTCCTTTTGTCGAACTGTGTAAGTGAAACATACAGAAACAGTTATTTTGAAACATCTCGCAATGTTTCATCTCAACCATTTAACATATAACACAGTACGACAAAATTTGATTTTTGGTCCCTCCCATGAAAAATTTCTACAGATTCTAAAAATAGAGTTAAAAAAATGATACCCGTGTCTCGGCGTTTTTTCACATCACGTCATAATTTTTTTTTAAGGGCTATCCAATAAAATGTTATTCACACTATTCGCGACATAATTTAATAGACACGATAACAGCTGGACTGCATAGTTAAAAATATATATATTTACTAAATGGATAGGCAACCATTATAGATGCATTTTAAAATTATTTTAATCTTATACAGAGTTTTGCACATTTATATATATCAAACGGTTTATTTTTAAACCAAGTAACAAAATCTTTCAAGTTTAAGCCTATCAAAATGCTTTAAAGTCGGGTGATTAAAATTTTTATTTATTCAATTCCTTGTAAAAATTGAGCTTTTTTGAATAAACATTTAAAAAAAAAATTAAAAGATATTTAAATGAATTGATTGCACCCTATATTTCTTACTGTTTCAATTGACTTCGTATAGACTATACTTAAATACTTTTTTTTAAATGTTAAATAAAAACATTATTGCAGCGATAAATCGATAAATTTTTCATATTAATTTTGTTTGTTGAGTTAACCATGAATTTGAAATCAAAGTAAAAATGCAGTGTCCGAATCGAAATAATTTTTGTTATGTATGTATGCACCTCCAAGCCATATGCGAAATATTACAAAAAGTGTAGTAACAGCTTTTGAAGACTATTTTTTGGTGACGTATATACCAAACTTATGGTATGTACCAGAGGTTTTATGCGATTATTGTTACCGTTGTTTGCATGGATTGCAAGATAAAACACACAGTATGAAATATGTTGCACCAACAATTTGGCTTCGACCCGTCGCGACGTACCGAACACGCATCTGACCAGTGTTATTTCTGCATGTCAAAATTAATAAGTTTTGGATTTCGGTACATTACTAGAGAGAAAATTGATTACGCCGATGTAGAATCCGTCATTCTCGCAAGAGTGCGATCTGAAGATTATCCAACTGCTCCTTCAGAAAACATATGTGATGATAAAAGTAAAATACCTTTAACACCCAGTACAACCATTTTTTCCGAGATGGAATCTGAATTTATTCCCTGTAGTTCGGGTTATAAAGTACATTTTATAACACAGGACATGAAAGTACATATTATGTCACTGAAAATACATTTTCTCCATGCTCATTTGGACTATTTTCCACCAAATTTGGGCGATTTTAGTGACGAACATGGCGAACGTTTTCACCAAGACATTTTAACAATTGAAAAACGCTTCAAGGGAAAAGACGTCAGGCATTTGCTGGGTGAATATTGCTGGTCAATTGTTCGAGATTCTGAAGCAATATACAGCCTGTTCAGAATAAAACCGAATATATCTATATATATATATGGGGCGTGGCCTCGCCTCCCTCCAAGGCGCGTCACAGTTGCTTGTGTGATAAACGACATGACGAAAGGTCGAGCAGGTAAGGACTTAAAAAATTAAATGATAATAATGCAAAAAATCTCATTAGCGATGCAGTCTATTTGCTTAGCTACTGTGTCGCGCGTTGGAGGGAGGCGAGGCCACGCCCCATATATATATAGATATATTCGGTTTTAGTCTGAACTAGCTGTATAATCGTCAAACTAAACGACCAAGATTTTATTCCAACATGTATTGAATATAAGATAAATACAAAAATGTGTTTCATTAAAAAAAAAATAAAAAAAAAATAATTAAAAAAAAAAATCAAAATATAAACTTTTTTTATATTTGTTTTTTGTATTGTGTAAAAACATACAATATTTACAAAAAAATATATTTTTAACCGAGTAAAAAATGTACAATCTGTATAAGCATAAATAATAGGAATGACGGCTTAAAATTTTTTTATGACGTGATCTCGTGAAACTGTGAGACACGGGTACGTTTTTTTTACCTCTATTTTCAAAATCTGCTAAAATTTTTCATGGGAGGGAAATCGTGTTGTACTGTGTAATAAGTAATGTTTCTTGTGGGATCTTTTAAAATGTTTCAGCTGAACTATTAAGCAACATTTAATTAGTAATATTTCAAAATGTTTCAGGTGGGATCTTTTGAAATGTTTCAGAGAAACGTTGCTGAGGTAGGACATCTTGAGTTACATAAACATTTCTGTGACATTTCTGCGCACATACATGGTACGTTTCAAAGAAACAATAGTATGTTTATGAAACGTTTATGGAACTAAAATTTGTTTATAGGGCCTTAGATCACGATTTAAATAAAAAATATAGACTTTAGTCATAAAAACGACTTACTAAAGGAATTAAGTCATTAGATGACTTAAATCACTTTATATTGATTTAAGAATTTGCTAATATGACTTGATTTGAAAGAAAATGATTTAATTTAAGGACTTAATACTTAAATCATTTAAACTTTATCTTAGAATTGACTTAAGATTTAAATCATTTGGATTTTAGAATTCACTTAAGAGTTAAGTCAAATGACTTGAATCCAAAATTGTGATTTAAATCAAAATAATTACCCTTAAGTCAATACAACAATTTTTTAAATGTTAATAATAATTTTATGGTATTAATGATACTGATATTATTAATCTATTGTAGATACAGATGATAATAAACCAGGTTAGGAATTTAAAAGGATTTATTTTCAGAACACAAAATAACACATTTTTTGAGTATATACCCAGACTGCAATGAAGGTTCGAAAATATTCCAGGAATATTCCCTATCGCCTAGGAATAATCCGCTTCATTCTAGGAATATTCATTGGGAATATTCATTGGGAATATTCCTAGAATGATCCAAGCATCCAAGCATCATCTAAGAACATTCCCAGTGAATATTCATTAGTTTATTTGCAATACCTACAAGACTAAAACCTAAAACGGGCATACCAACGCTAACCCTGGATGACCAGTCGTTTACGACAGACCTAGAAAAAGCTCTGGCGCTGGGTGAATACTTCGGCAGCATTCACACCACCCAGCTGACATGGTCACGTCATATAAACGTCGATTATTGGTATATATTGGTAAATGACGTCGACGACCTTACATCGACGTCTCTACGACGTCACAACCCTTACCAACCATATACGTCATTTTGTCAACGTCGACATTACGTCGACCTAAAGTAATACAATAATAATTTTAGCAATTAATGTCGTACATTGTGGACTTTTGTTTCTTATCCTAAAACCAACAGGTACCTACATCACTTTAATGCAGCTGAAAAATTTACAAGGAGTTTATAATAATAATTATGGATCGTATCGTATACGATACGATATATATATAATTTTTTTAGTTTTACTAACCAGAACACAAAATATTTCGTGTTTTGATTAGCAAAACTATAACAATTATTTACTTATTGCTAGACACTCAATATATTAGGAGTTACAAAGTATTTATTAAACTTGTAAATAAATAATAAAATGTATTTGCCGTTAAATATTTAAATTTCGCGCCAAACGCTCGTCAAAATTCGGAGCCACCGAATCGGAGGTGCTCGTGCGGGTGTGACCGAATGCCGCGCTTTTATGACAAAGTTAAACTTTGAAAGTTTGTATGTTCTGTTTGCGTGTGTTAAAGCTGTGCAACAAGTGTATGCTTTTGCTTAATAATAATTATCAGTTATCAGTTGGGTAAGCAAAATTTTGTTATTTCGTTGATACTTACATACCTATATCTTTTGCGTTAAAATGTAAACAACTAAACGATGGGGGTAATGTTGAATTTGTCAGCCGGTTTTGTGCCGGCGTCATGGTCGCCATTGGGCAATTAGAAAAAGTAATGAAATAATAAGTTTAACAAGTACTTATATTGTATATTGGTTAATTATATTTGTTAAAGTTATAAATTAAATTTATTAAATAGTTACCTATATAATATATACTTACCTAATGTTATTAAAACTATACCTACTGAAGTTTTAAATTTTGTCTACATAGATATATACTTATACTTATATATTTCGTTAATTTCCGATCAATTCCGAATGTTTCCGAATTCTGCCGGTAGCTCAAATGTTGTCAATGTCATAGAATGATATAATCATGATTTATTATCTATGGATATAATAAATACCACTGCTAACAATAATAAAAAAGACATGCGAGAATTATGAATAAATAAATGTATTTATAGCATTTTTGCATTTAAACGACTTCTTAAGTCACGTAATATGATAATTTTAATACAGGTATTTTTAAGTTATACAAAACATATTTTGCATTTTAATTAAGGGTAATTTAAAGATAAGGAATTTTTAACACCTGTCATTTTTGACACCTGTCATTTTTGACATATCATAAGCTTCACCGCAGCCCCCGACGCAAACACAACCATCATTGGCAGATATTAAAAAAGAAGAGGCAATAAAAAGCGAGTATGATGTTAAAAAACCCATATACCAAAAGAATTAACACCTAGTCCTATAAAAAAAATTAAAAAAAACCGGCAGCAGTACCACATTTTATTGATGATGGTAAAATATTTGATAGCACATTACAAGACGACACATTACAGGACAGTTATTTTTACGATGACAGTATTCGCATTTTTGACACCTGTCAAAAATTGTGTACGAAGCACCACATTCCTAAGCAAGGAGGCGCCGGCACCATTCTATAAATAGAATTTTAAAACGCACAGTGCACAAAAAAAATAAACTAAATCAAAAAATTACTTAAAACACACAAAAAATACATCCTACCTCCCATCAAAATCCTATCCCAAAATTCCCAAAAATATTCCATGGATGATTTAATAAAATTTCAGCGGATACAACGGTGCGTGCACCGTATCTCTCACCGCTAGAACAATTTCGACAAACTTAATTCTCGCGCAAGCCGGCGTGTGCAGTGTTGCCAGGTCCAAAAAATTTAATTCTTAAAAATTCCCCAGATTTTCCCCAGATGATCTGGGCCAGATCTTTTTAGTTTGGAAAGAAAAAAGATACTTAAAAATAAAACATATCCCTACTTTTTAATAATATTTTTTCTACAAATAAAAATCAAGCCACTTAAGGTTCATTTTTTATTTAACAAGCAGGATAAAATAGATATAATATATTTAAGTTAACTTGTGAAAACATTCTTTCCACCGTGGCGCTGGAATGGGGTAAGCATAATAAATTAAATATAAAGTTAGAAATATTCGAATATATGAGTTTATCATCCCCTGTCTTAATTTTGCTAATTTTGTCCCAAAATTCAAAAATAGGCGTATTTTCATATTCGCTTAAGTCTATATTTTGTATTTCCCGCCACTCTCGATCCAAATCATTCATTGCTGATTGTTTCACTAAATTTGGAAACAATAAAGCCAAGGGAGCAATTGCAGGATATTTTTTTTTTACTACAGATTTAGGATCGATCATGCTTAATTGATTTAGTATTATTTGAGATTTATCTTTAAAATTAAATCGTTTATAAATCTGTTCACACCCCTCAATTAAAAACCCTAAGCATCGTTTCCTAAAACTCAACAATTCGCTATCAGTCAAGTTATGCATATTGTTTTGAATTTTCCCAACAACAATTGCCCCTAGGTAAATATCCTCTATTTTTTAAAAATTATGAGGGTTTTTTACGTCGATGTTTTCAATATTAGTATAAGATATATATTCTCTTTTTAAGTAGCAACCCATGATAGTTTTAATGATTGTTTCAACCCTTTGATGAAGTATATATACATATATGTATTTTTATAGTTTCCGCCTGCATTTCTACCGTTAAATTATTAAAAAGTGGTAGGACAAAATCTAAAAATTCTAAGTATAGTTGAAATGAGGGATCTCTCAACCTAGTGAGGATTTTCTCCGCAGGTGGAATTTTATCTACTAAATGGGCACTAGTAAAATATAAAACTAAAGCATCAAATTGCTCTAAAAGTCTTTTCACTACTGAAAGTAGAGACAGCCACCTAGTTTGACTCGGGTGCAAAATTTTATGTGGCTTTATTTCAACAAAATTTTGAAATTCTTTTAAATCAGACTGTATTTTGAAGCTGTACTTTAAAAAAGAATATACATCTCTTGCCGTTTCTTCTATTTCGGCAGGCAATTTTTCGCAGGCATAACTTGCACATAAAGCAAATGAGTGGCATATGCATCTCATTATAAATAGATCTTTAATATCATTTTTTAATAAAACAGATAAGGAATGGCGAGCCCCCATCATTACACTTGCCACATCGGCCGCAAATCCTATCATATTAATATGATAATTATCTTTAAATGGAATGTTATATTCTGAAAAAAACTTTGAAATTTCGGTATAGAGAGAATCGGCTGATGCTGAAGGCACTTGCAATAAACCTAAAAACAAATCTACAATCTTGTTTACCCTATGATCGAATAACCTAACTACCATAGCTAAATGTTTAATGTCTCCCCTATCTGTCGATTCATCAACTACAAGAGAAAATTGTGTTTTCCGCAATAAAGTTAACACATTTTCAAAACAATACTTTCCTGTTACGCTATTTACAATTGCTGTGGCCTTAGTTCTTCCACAAGTAACATTTTTGGCTATTTCAGAATCAGAATAAATTACTTGATTTAATTTGGTAAGATGGTCTAAAGTATTAAAAGAAATATTGTGTTCTACTGCAAAAACTGCTAATCTAATTTCGGCTTTCTTGACATTTTGTAGCATGGTGGTTCTCTGCTGTAATGTCGGCATCTCAATTAGGGTTTGCTGACGAGCGATACCCTTTGCATTCGAAAGATGTTTTTTTCCATTCGCGTGCTTTTCAATTTCGGACTTACCACATAGAAAGTTTTTATTGCATGCTTTGCAATAACCATACGTGGTTCCCTTTATGCTTTTTGTCAGCCAACCTTTAAATCTGCCGTCCTCTTCCCACTTCGGATTGTAATTTTGTACATAATTCTTTTTTCTTTTCTTTAAAATCGGTGGTAGCTCAGGTTCTTCCTCAGAACTAGATAAAGCTAAATTCTGCTTGGATGTTGTGGCCATGTTTACTTTTCTAAACAAACCATAGAACGCAACCCAGGTTGCGCAGCTGCAGTAGTGTTTACACGGCGTGTAACTCCATCTAGAATTTGATGTTAACACTAAAGTTGGCGACTAAATTAGCCCGGCTAATTCA